TCATCATCAAAGTCCCATAACTGGCAAAAGTTGCACTGGCAGGAGATGGGGCAGACTAGAAAGAACTGTTTGGCAGATCCTGTCTTTACTGTCACTTCCATCTGCTGTCCAAACTGCTCAAGAACTTTTCAGCTCAAACTAGACTGCTCAGTCATCTCTGTACTCACAACCATTGAAAATTACTACATTTAGATGGTAAGTGGTCTTTATCAGTTCATTTGTGATGGACAAACAACAATAGTCTCATAGTTGTTGGGTTGAATGTTGAATTGAGAATCCGGGAAGGCTAACCCGGTCAACAAATGCCCGCAGAAGTCGGATGTGTTGGCCGAAAGGTGCAAATATCGCAGCTATGCTGTAAACTGACACAACACAATTACATCTTCGAATGAACGCAGAAGAAGAAAAAGAAGAATTAAGAATGGACATCACAGCACTCGGGACACTCCCATAAGTGCTCTGTCCCCAACTTAAGCAGCAAAAGAAGAGTTCCAATTCTGATGGCAACGGTAACCGTCTGATTATATATCCATCTCATCCTCCCCTGATTATTGAGCATCAACCAGATCTCCTGGTTATTGGGTCACCAGTTGATACTGATTGTCTGGTAAGCTCCTTCCACCTTTTTCAATCAGATTCAGTGAACTTAACATTTGCATGTTTGTGTCCTGTCCATTCAGCCAGATTCTGTATACCAGGTCTTTCTTGGTCTGCCTCTTCTCCTTTGCCCCTCTACAGAACCCTGTAGTATAATTTTGGAGAGGCCGATTGATCTTGTTACATGTCCATCATCATCATCATCATCATCATCATCATCATCATCATCATATGGCAGGTCTTTGCAGAACATGTTTTTGTATCATGGTCTACCTGAAAGAGACTCAGTCTCTAGCCAGGGTACTTTCATGTTCAAGGAGTCACTTATATCCTGTGCCCATCTTTGTGTTGGTCGGTTCCTGCTCCTCCTTCCTGGACTATGCCTTCTGCTATTATTTTTTCCCATTCGGCCATAGCGCTTGATATGACCAAAATATTTCATAGAGAAAAAAAATGTAGTTATCTTGTATGCTTTAAATTAACAATTGTATAATTAGTTTTAGGCTTTGTTTAAATTGTTGTTTTATTTTCTATTTATATGATAATGTAAAAATGCCTTATCTTTGCAGTCTGAAGCAATCTACATTCATTTCTTTGTGTTTATTGGATACATGATTGGCCTGACCTTATTTGTTGGTGTGGTTATTGCCAACTACAGTGAGAATAAGGTAAGCTCTTCACTGTGAATATATGGACTCACAAATGTTTAACAATTTACCTCTGCACAAAGTAAGTAAAGGACCATTTTTTACACCCACAGCACTTGTGACATGTGAGGCTAGACTTATGTTTGATAGACCAGTCAGCACTTGTGACATGTGAGGCTAGGCTCATGTTTGAAAGACCAGTCAGCACTTGGTGGATGATGAGGTTTGCATAATGCTGGTCGCCTTTATTTCCCAGTGTTATTTGGTTTGTAAAGGACTCTTTTTATGCCAGTAGCACGACTGGCATATGAGGCTAGACTAATATCTTATAGACCAGTCGGCACTCGGTGGATAATGAGGTCACCCTGATCACCTTTATTTGCAATGACATTACCTGGTACCAGTTCTAGGCTGGATCAACTTATGGGCTGGCATGTGAGCATCTGTCTGCTATTCTACCACATATCCTCTTTACACTCAATGTTTGCATATCAGAAAATGTCACAATAGCTTTTTTAAACCTGAGCCACTGTTAAAATAAACTACTAATGCATAAACATCTGGTCAATATGGTGGATAGGCAGTCAACTGTTTTTATTCATGGCAAGTTTTTTGCTTCTGACAATAGTTAGCCATTGTATTTTCCTCCATATGGAGGAAAATATAGTTCTGTCGCCCATCTTCTGCACTGAGTCACAACTCTGCGAGCTGCAAATTTAATTTGCAATGCTTTTAAGCTATGCTCAACATAGTTTGTATTGTGAACTAGGAATTCAGAATATGGCTCAAGGCTATAACGATTTTGTGGTGCCCTAATAAAATTGTGCTATATGGCTATACGGTTGAGCCGGGTTTCTGGGATCTGCACCTGTTTGTCATCCTTGAGATTTTAATCCTATAGACTGCAATCATGAAGGCAAACTTAAACAAAAAACACACACCAAATTTAGAAAATCAAACTGGAACAGGGATTAACTTGTTACCTAATGCATTTTTGGTTGTGAGAGGATTTTAACTTTTCCAGTACAAACAACCTTCCATTCATTTCTTTTTCATTCTTCTTCTTCTTCTTTGTTCACCGGCTGTAACCTCCAGTGGAAAATCCTGAGTGTTTGTCCATTTTGACTTAGGCTTTGTGCCAGGGCCTGAGTTTTGCATGTACATCACTATACTGGCTTATTTGTATGCAGCAGGTTTTTCTTCACACCTCTATCACTGAGGGTTAAAAGAAACCTTTATGTCAGTTTGGCTTCAAAAAAGCTATTTGATTTACAAGGAAAAACGCTAAATTTAGTAAATCAATAAATATATCAATATACCGGCCCTCTTTAACACTGCACTGATGCATAAAGAATCAATGTTGAATTATGAATCAACTTCACAACACTCGGGACACTCCTAAAAGTGCTCAGTCCCCATCTTCAGCAGCAAGCGTAGAGTTCCGATTCCGATGGTTCAAGTAACCGTCTGATTGTATATCTGACTCAACCTTCCCCTGAGTGTTAAGTGTCGGCCAGATCCCCTGGTAACTCCACGCAGCGCCATTATGCTTAGACCATAATGATTTATTTGCGCTTCTGCACTGTTCACTCACTCCCAAAGGGTCCTCACAATATCTAGCTTGTCATACATCAGTTCACCATCAAGTGGTGCAGAACCAACCAGTCTATCTGCCTGCTCATTTCCCATGACCTGGAGAAAATATCCAAAGAATGCTAACTAACCGGGACCTTTGAAGTGAGTGCATAAAGAACTAATAACATTTAACAAAACTTCTCTGAAACAGATCCCAGTAGTCTGGAAGGGTACGGGAGTCTAGGCCTTTATGAGAATGTGGCATCAAGACATTTACGGGAATTTATCATTGATGGAAAATTCTGGTTCGGGGCTTCCTGGGGCAACAGGGTTAAGAGTCCAACAAAATGTATACACACTTCAGCAGATCTAGCAATGTGTAACCCATTATGGGTTTTCAGGCCAGTCACAACTTAACCAGAACCCTCATTGCCAGGATATTTCAGGGTGACCTAGATGACCTCTGCGGATAATCTAGCAGACACAAGGCCACACAATGCTTTGCCCAATTCTGCCAGTCTCATACTTTATTCTGTTTACCGCCTCTGACGATCTGACTGTGGGTTTGGGATTTGAGAGGAGGCTATGCCACTGTTCAATAATTTGACTTCATTAAAATGCACATGAAGTTACAAATGTACTTGTTTCTTGTCCAGGGTACAGCTTTGCTCACAGTCGACCAGAGAAGATGGCTAGATCTGAAGGGAAGAATTAAGTTAGCTCAGCCATTACATATTCCACCTAGGCCAGGTTAGCTATGGTGATATTTTTGTTGTAGTTTTGATTTTTATAATGCTATTAGAGCTGTTGATATTTAGGACATTCTGGTCAATATGGTGGATAGGTCGGTTTACTATTTTTTAGTTGTATTTTAGCAAGTTTTTCATTCTTTTGATAATAGTTAGCTGTTGCATTTTCTTCCATTTATAGACTTACAGGCTATAGTTCTATTGCTCGGCTACTGAGATAAGTGCATGTTTAAGTGCTGCAGGTTTCATTTGGAATGCTTTTAGACTGTGCCTAGTGATGTTTGTATTGTGACCTTCAGATTCAGAAAATTGTGAGTGGCCTGTTGTCAGAGAACTAGTGGTGCCTTATGTGATTAATTGCATGTGCAACTACGATCTCTTGTAACTGCTGCTTCCATCAATGATAAACTGCTTTTATAGCATCATTTGTTTGCATTTAATGTGTGTGTATGCTACTGGTTGTGCTGAGACTGCTGTCTATATCAATAATTTTTTTTTCACTAAGGACAGTGACAGACATTATTTGTGTGTGTGCTTTTTTTTCTTGGTGGCACAGGAGCGGAGCAGCTGTGTGGGGACACATTTGCTTGGACCTAGAAATATGATTACCTGACTACCTGATTTAGGACATTAATTAGACTTTTTAGTTTTGTCTGTGTCTGTTTATTTAAATAAGTTTTGCAAGGCTTGCTTGCTTAGCATTCAAAACATTGTTGAAGAATCAGTTTAGCTAATGATGACAGAGAATGTTAAAGAATCATTTTGGCTAATGATGACAGAGGATGTTGAAGAATCATTTTAGCTAATTTCAGAGGATGTTGAAGAATCAGTTTAGCTAATGATGATAGAGGATGTTGAAGAATCATTTTAGCTAATGTCAGAGGATGTTGAAGAATCAGTTTAGCTAATGATGACAGAGGATGTTGAAGAATCATTTTAGCTAATGTCAGAGGATGTTGAAGAATCAGTTTAGCTAATGATGACAGAGGTTGTTGAAGAATCATTTTAGCTAATGATGATAGAGAATGTTGAAGAATCAGTTTAGCTAATGATGACAGAAGATGTTGAAGAATCATTTTAGCTAATGTCAGAGGATGTTGAAGAATCAGTTTAGCTAATGATGACAGAGGTTGTTGAAGAATCATTTTAGCTAATGATGATAGAGAATGTTGAAGAATCAGTTTAGTTAATGATGATAGAGGATGTTGAAGAATCATTTTAGCTAATGTCAGAGGATGTTGAAGAATCATTTTAGCTAATGTCAGAGGATGTTGAAGAATCAGTTTAGCTAATGATGATAGAGAATGTTAAAGAATCAGTTTAGCTAATGATGACAGAAGATGTTGAAGAATCATTTTAGGTAATGTCAGAGGATGTGGAAGAATCAGTTTAGCTAATGTCAGAGGATGTTGAAGAATCAGTTTAGCTAATGATGATAGAGGATGTTGAAGAATCATTTTAGCTAATGATGACAGAGGATGTTGAAGAATCAGTTTAGCTAATGATGACAGAGGATGTTGAAGAATCATTTTAGCTAATGATGACAGAGGATGTTGAAGAATCAGTTTAGCTAATGATGACAGAAGATGTTGAAGAATCAATTTAGCTAATGGTGATAGAGAATGTTGAAGAATCAGTTTAGCTAATGATGACAGAAGATGTTGAAGAATCATTTTAGCTAATGACAGAGGATGTTGAAGAATCAGTTTAGCTGATGATGACAGAGGATGTTGGAGAATCATTTTAGCTAATTATGAAAGAGTTTGTTGAAAAATAATTTTAGCCAGTGATAAAAGAGGATGTTGAAGAAACAGTTTAGCCAATGATGGCAGAGGATGTTTAGGAATTATTTAAGCCAATGATGACAGCAGATGTTGGAGAATCATTTTAGTCAATGATGACATAGCATGTTGAAGAATCATTTAAGCTGGTCAAAGAAATTATGGATTATTATTCTAGTTGTATTTATGTATCTTGTTGTCAGACTGTGATGTTGATTATGATGACGATGGTGCAGTCTTGATGTGTTCTCATGCAGATTTAATTGTTTTCCTTCCCTCAGAGAGAAATGTGTTCCAAGCACTGATCTATGATATAACCCAGCACTTCTACTTTAAGCGTTTCATTGTCTTCCTGGTGATAGCCAACTGCCTTATGTTGTCAGTGCCTGTGAGTACAATATTAACTCTTTAAGGACGGCATGTTTTCTAGGGTTTGGACAGCATTAATTTTGAGAGGAATTGTTTTACAGCAACATGACAAAGCTAAAACTGTCCTGTTAAAAAACTACTGGCTGTATAGTACCATGCAATACATCAAATTAAAGAGAAATGAATGCAGAATGCACGTAAACCATCTAAGGATCAGTATTTCAACAATATCTTTTAAATAACACCATTTTTAATGATGTTAGACACACAGGAATTTTTTTTGGGTAAGAAATATTGTGTTAACCTTACTTTTTGCTGGATCAAAAACACTTCTCCTCATTCTGAAGAATTCACAGGCCTTCTCTATTCAATTATCTATCAGCTAGCCTTTATTTGAGACAATTATCCTGAATACTTTGCATTTTATGACAATTCTTATGTGACATGACAAATTTTAAAATAACCGAATGAAAAGGAAAACTGAATTACTGAATTTTGTAACAGCAATATGAGAAAGCTAAAACCATCCTGTTGAAAAATAACTGGCTGTATAGTACCATGTAATACATCAAATTAAAGAGAAATGAATGCAGAATGCATGTAAACTATCTAAGGGTCAGTATCGCAACAATAACATACAACAGTGACACCACATTAGAGGATGTTAGACAAAAAAGTATATATTTAAACATGCAATGTTGTTCTTACCTTATCCTTTTACTTGTTCAGCAGCATAGCTATCCATTTCTAAGAATTCACATGCCTTCTCTATTCAATTATGCATCAGCTAATCTTTCTTTGAAACAATTATTCCAAATACTTTGAATGTTATCATTATTTTTGTCTGACGCGTCAAATTTCAAAACAACCGGGAAAGAAAATATTTACATAATATATAAAGGCAATTCCAGTGACGACTTACAACTCTATTTATCTGACAATGATGATGATATTGATCTTGAATACAACCACCTTACTGGGTGTGATGTGCCCTAAAACATGCATTGGGGCACAGATTAGGCTTATCAGCACATCTAACACAGTAAAACCTGCTGCTTTTTCAAATCTTTTTCTTGCTGCACTGTACACATTGCCTGTCTGCACCAGCATATCAACTAAATGGTCTGCCCCAACAAAACTGTCAGACAAGGCTGGCCTTTTGCCTGGTATGCGAGCCACAGCAATGATCATGTCTGTTGGAACTTCATGACATGAGAGCGCAGTTAGTTGCTGGATGAGCTCGTCTTTGAAATGTGCGAGAATCATTCGCTTGGGGGCAGCACGATGGGATAACATGTACAAGATGTAAGCATTTACCTGCGTCACTTCCACAATCCATGTGAAAACCTTTTTCCACCACTTCTTAGTTTTGCGATTGTGGTTACTATAGTACGAGACCATTTGATCCAAACGATCACAGCCATTCATACTCATATTGTATGAGTGAATGGGGCTAGGTTTCTGAACCTTTTGACTCCCTTTCTGGCCTTCCTCAAATGTAGAACTTCCATTTGTGGTCAGTAGGATGCAAGGTTTTTTGGAATTTTTATCCCTCCAGGAAACGCAAAGGATATTCTGCTCATTATTAACTAACCATCTCGGAGTTCCAAAGATGGTTGGTTGTTGTTTTAGCTGCTGCGGTAATCCTTTGCGGTTTTTATTCACCGTGCCAGTATAATTCAATTTCATGGATAAAAGAAATTGAATGAGAGGGAGTGATGTATAAAATCTATCTGCAAATAGATGGTGGTAACTTTCAACACCCTTCAGTAGGGTTGAAAATACTTTTACAGTTGATGAGTTGATGTTGGATCAAGCTCAGGATTGTAGGCAGTTTTTGCTCCAAAGTAAATTAGCAGATTATAAACATAGCCTGTGATTGAATCACAAAGACCAAATGTCTTTATATGATACTTGTGAGGCTTGGCTGCATTGTACTGTTTAGCATGAAACCTGCCCTTGAAACCAATCACCATCTCATCAACAGAAAGATTTTCATATGGGTAAAATGCTGACTGAAACTTTGTTACTAGATTATTCACAAATGGCTCAGTCTTTGCTTGGCCTTGTGCGTTGGGTTCTGATGCATGCTGCATTGACTGGTAAACAAGCAAGAACTTAGTTCTTGGAAACATTACCTTGAACCATGGTGTGAATTTGTGGTTCGCTGTAGACCAGTAATCTTTGATGTTGTGTTTCCGTGTAATTCCCATTGCTATCACTACACTGAGAAACAAAAAAATTTCTCTAGTCGTTGGCTGCCACTCGGACAATGTAGATCTCTTTCTCAATGGTATATTTTTCTTAATTTTTTTCTCACTGCATAAAGATTTATGTTCTCAACAAGGCTGTCAATGATATCAGTTGTCAGCAGTGTCAATAAGCAATCCAGTGGTGTTGAATTTTCATCCAGCGGTGCCCGAATTCCAGACCCAGCTGATCAAAACAGGGACGATCCGATCGAAACATTTTCTTCAGCTTCATCCCAAGTCATAACGTCTGCAACAGATACTGCACGTGCATTATCATTATTTATAAGGTCAGCACTATTGTTGTCACTATCTGGCTCAGATTCATCAACGACAGCAGCGGGATGGGCAGTTCTGTAGGCTTTGTTATTGTTCTGCTTTCCCTTACCCTTACTGTTTAGTCTGGCGTGTTTTGCAGCAGATGGCTGATATTCTCGATCGTCATCATCTACATCATTGTCAGATAATTCCAAATCTAACTTATCATCACTACTAGAATTATCTTCTTCATCTAACAACCGCTGCATAAGATCTAAAGCCTGCGTTTTTGTCATTCTTTGAGCTCTATCTGCAGTGGATGTCAAAGGGTTGGAAGTTGCCATTTCAGAAAACTCACACACAAAAATTATATTGCACAGAAAAAATCTAAAACAAATCACAAAGTTGTAAACACACCACGCTAATCTTCGCACTCGAAAGGACTTCCTGTGCTGAATCCTGATTGTTCAAAAACTGGTTCATAACAGTTCGTTTTCCCCACAAAATTAGAGTGTCTCTATCACAAGCCATTTAACTGGTTTTTCGTCCATGAGTAATGGACTTGGAAGACCTATAAACTGGCGATTCGTCCGTAAAGAGTTAAGACACGATAATATAGTAGTTTCACATTCATGGCTTTGGACTACATTGTCAACCGTTAACTGCATTGTACATTACCAGGCTGTCAACCCCAGAGCTGTACTGATAAAAATATATGATTGTGCCACTGCTAGAAAACATCCGAGAATCAAATGGTTTGGTTATCTGTTCCGAATGGAACAAAATCAACCAGCATCTAGAGCATACTACAGGAGAACAGCAGGCTGCAAGTCAAGAGGTCAACCAAGAAAGAGATGGCCAGACGGAGTGAAAAAATAAAAGACACTACAATAGGACACTAACGCAAGCTACACAACTAGCAGAAGATGAGACCCTACCATCCAAATCTTCTCTGCCATGCTTTGCAGCATAAGCAGTAGGACACAAGAAGAAGAAGAAGCTTGTAATTGTGATCTCTGGCTAGATGCTCATCTGCTGACCTCAGAGAGTTCAAATTGACCACAAGGCAGATTATCCTTCTTAAAATCTGACTTGACTCCTCAGTCCATCTAATGTGGGTATCAGATAATCTCCTGAGAAGTAAAGGTGACTGGTCTGATTTTGACCACATCCAAGTTCTGTTTAGTCTATAAAAAATACAGTCTAGCACCATATGCATGATGTAAAGGTCAAATAAAGGACCCATTTTAACCTTTAGGTGTTTGGGCATGTAGGGCCAGACCTAACTTTTTTTAGACTACTCAGAAATCTGTTGGTGATGTGATCAACATCACGCCAGCCATCTTTACTTCACTGGACTATACCAGGTATCTATTTATTGTGGGTCAACCTTGGATCAAGGTCATTTTACGATATTAAAAATGTTTGGGCTTGATGCAGATTTGAACTCATGGCATTTGGATCACAAGCGCGTGTCTACACACACGGCTTCCCATATGTCTGGTGTGCAAAACACACAAAAAAGCCCATAAAAATGGATCTTTTCCTGCTTGTAATTTAACTAAAACGGCTTTCATGGGATCTTTCCTAGCGACTCAATGAATATGCTCAAGAAGATGGAGAAGGGTTGCATACGAAGACAATGGGGGGAGTCCCTGAATAAATCTAGGCTGAAAAAAATCAGCTTCATATTTGTTTCAGGATATTCTGGTGTGAAGGTCAATGAATGAGCTGACAGACTTGCAAGTGATGCTCATGTGAGAAACAGACAATCAGTTGACAGGGCTGATATACTGAATGCCCTCAGAGAGGCAGCTCGATTGCACGAATCAAGTAATGATTGTGGATCTGCAACACTGATGAGGCTACACGAACATAACATGCAAAGGGGTGAAGCCAGACGTGAGCGCTACCCAGGGGCCCGAAGAAGAATATTAAACCAACACAGAACTGGTGTCATAAGCCACTACACGCTGAGGGAGATACTGAAGAGGGGATCTGAGCACTTATGGACTGAATGGTTCTGTGTGTGATGATGGTAATCTCTCGACTAACTAACTGTCTCCATTTTGCACTATTTTAAACCTTAGATGGGTCCTAAGATTCATCATATGACTTCGCTTGTCAAAAGTTTATAGTAAAGTTTCATTTTTTTTTTAGTTTGAGAACCATACAAAAACAATTTGTCTTTTCATATAATGAAATATAATAGCACAATTATTTCAATTTCTCAGACATGATGCCTTTTATAAGTTGGCTTTCCTTGCTGTCCAGATTCTGTGAATATTTTCCTGTAATTGTAAAATTGGAAAGCCTTGATTTGCTTATTCAGTGATTGCAAAATGAGCCATAATTCACATATATGTGTTGCTATAGTAAAGATGCATGCTCTCAAAATGATTTATTTTAAATTGATTTATTGGTGCCACTAGCTCTTAATGCTGCTCAACGTTGCATTGTTATGTGAAGTCACAGTTTTAGACAATATTTCTTACAGTTTATATTTTATATAATTAATTAATGTTTCTGTTTCAATATTGTTGATTTCCTCCCATGTTTTTTATCTGTTTTCAGTGGAAAGATGATGCTCATATGTACATCCTAGCTGGCTTCTCCACCTCCTTTACGCTACTCTTTTTCCTAGAGGTAGGATCATAAATATTTATTTTTAAGCTTATATTAGTTATACTGTTGAAAACTATATTTATATGTCTGTTAATTTTTTAAAAAAAAACTATCACTACTATCTGTTTTACCACAATTTTTAGGGTGGTGTAGACAGGTGGGGGGGGGGGGGTTTGAGCCTGAGGATTCTGGGCCGCATGACTAGTGCTGTTGCTACGGACTGTGCAGGTAAGGATATTTCTATTGTCCCTGACAGAAAAACTCCATCATTTTACCGGGGGTTGAACCTGGGTCCCCCACATGAGAGCCCGAGATTGTAACCACTCGGGCGTTAATGTACATACACAAAAGCGTACAATATTTATTTATATCTTATAGAATTTAGGACTTGATAATCAATTTACACACAATGTTCAAAACCAAAGAAAATCTCATAAGAGCGTGTGTTTTTTTGACCGACATTGTGCTAACAGTGCTCAACATGGACCTTTTCTACAACTAATGAGTGGAAGAGATGAGATGTCTTAGGAGAGCTGCGGGTGTGACAAGAAGAGATAAAATCAAGAATAAAGAAATTAGAAGAAGACTAGGACTGAAACCAGTTATACAATTCATGAAAGAACAACAAATGAGGTGGTGTGGCCATGAGGTGGTGTGGCCACCTGATGAGAATGCCCTGGTACCAAATGCCACAGAGAGTCATGCTAAAGAAATATAATGAATATAGAGCAAGGGAAAGACCACGCAAGAGATGGAGCGACACCACCAGGAACAATCTTACAGAAATGAACACCAAATTGTACAGTGCAATGAGAAAAGTGCACAGACAATCCTTCATCTCCCCCCCCCCCCCCCCCCCCCCCCCCCCTTCCCCCCCAATACCTGGCTGAGGTAGATGGTGGAATAGAAGGAGGAAAAGAAGAAGAAGAAGAATGAATTTTAAAGAAAAAGCTTCCACCAAATATGGACTTCAGTGGACTTTGTTAAAATATTACAAGACCTATTTTGCTGTATCTGGTCGGGTGCATTACTACAAAGTTAAAAGATAAAGTCGGGAGATTTGAACCAGCGTCACTGCACACGGTTATAAACCATAAGTGCTCTGCCACCAGTACGGACAGCTGATAAGAAATTGTCCGCCTGTGTCGCCGTCCGCACGTGACTCCTTAGCCACAGCGACATTCCTTTATTTACCCCAGTGTGTCACTCTGGTACCCATTTCCTAGAGGCTTGGTGAACCCCGGGAACTGCCCAGTTTTGAACACCAGCTGTGGGCTGCAGCGAGTCGTGGCGGGATTTGAAAGAGTCTCCTATCGACTGCCCTAACGCGGCCCACATTACAGAGTTACATCAACATATCATGAAGCATAAAACCTGAAAAAATTCCACTGAAATGTGAATGGTCTCTCTCGGTACATCATGTTTGTCTAGTTGCTGTAAGTCTACTGAAGTTATGTGACTTACCAGGGTAACTTCAAATTGACTATGAATTCCTTCTGCTTACTTAAGAGAAGGTTTATTCCCAGCATGCATCTGTTTGGTTTGATGTGTGGTAAATCACATGAAAAGCACTAACCTTGTCAATTTCATGTCCAATGTCAAGCAAATGATATCCTGTAGAAGAAATGGGTTCTTTCCCCTTGATTGACGTTGAAAAATGTGAAACGAGAACAGTGCATGTTAACAAATGAAACAGTGAATTAACAAATGCTTGTTCATTGTCAGGTGATCATGAAGATGATAGCACTGTCACCTGCAGGCTACTGGACCAGCAGACGCAACAGATTTGACATGTTTGTCACTTTGCTGGGGGTCATCTGGATTATATTACATTATAGCACCAAACGGGTGAGTGTCATGCCAGAGTCTCATTATATACATGCACGTGTCCAAACATACATAAGAATAACTCTTATTCTCCTCCTCATCCTCCCTGTTTTCTTTTTCCTGACCTTTTTCTTCCTTCATCTTAGTATCAAATAACAAAATTATTGATTTTTTTTTTTTTTTTTTGGTTATCTTTGTGTTCAGTTTTGTAGCTTATAATATTATGTATGGCTTAGAGATTTGAAAAAAAAAAA